TTGATTTTAAGTCTGGAGATGTGGAGGTGCCCTGAGTCGTAATAGAACGTGCCCCTCTGCACTTGCCTCACCTCTATCCCTGCCACAGCCACCTGGGATTCATGGCCTGTGGCAGACGTCTCCCCTCATTCCCATCTGTGTCCCAGGGCTGCTGCTAAAATGTTGTAGCAGCATCTGCGGGCACGTGATCCTACAAAAGAGCATTTATTTTAGTGGGAGGACATCTAGGGCTAGCTTGCCTGGGTGAGTGGGTTCTAGGCTGGTTCACAATGTCAGATTGCGTTCCAAAGCAGCGTCTGACTATAAGAGACCTTTTCCTTAGCAACAGCCATCAAGACATTGAGAAATGTCTCCAATCTGACGACCTCCAAGTGCTGACTGTGTAACTCCCAGGACACTTCTGGGACTTGTGGCCAGGGACACATGTTCATACTGCTATGGGAGCAGTGGGCCAGAGGTTGAATTGTTGCCCTCCTTCAGAAAATCTGGTTCAATCCCAGGCCAACACACCTCCCACACAGATACCACCCAATTGTAGCTGTAACGCTAAGCAGGTTTCACCAGAGTTTTCAGATTAAGACACACTGAGAAGAAATTCCTGGTGATCTATACCCCCCAAATTAACCAACATGTTCCGTTGTGCATGGGGTCGCTGACTAGATGGTAGGAAACTACAGCAACATAGGACAATTGGATTGGATCGTTTTGGATATTTATCCTGCAATATAAACTTTAAGATAATTTTCTCCAAATCCAAAAAGAAAAAGAAATAATAGGAAAACAAAAAATGTTGACATTTGAATCAAGTACTGTCCAGTGTATAGTTAATATTAATATGAATATAACTAGCATCTTTATAATATTAAGCCAGTCCTTCATGAATCTGGTACTTCCTACCCAAACTATAGATACATTTTTTTAATTTAACTTTTTATTGTGAATTGAGATCATCAGCAGACAGATCATGAGCTTTACATTCAACAAATCATATGCTTTGTTTCATCTCAATGATTTACAGTCTCCTCCCTGCAACAGTGATCCTACTTCCTCCCTGTGGCTCCTCATTTATATCTTATATTTCACAAATGAACAAGGCAAAAATATTTGACGTACACGTACAAAACAAAAATCTATATATTCATTTAAATGTCCAAAGGGCACATTCTGCCAGCCAGCCTCCTGCCCACAGGCACACAGCCTTTCTCAGTCCATGGGCCCAGAGCCCACAGCTGCTCTGTCTCTCCATGCCATCACCTCTGCCGTTGCTTTTCTAGGTAGGGTCTCACATTCCACTCATGCTCTTCCTTCTTAATGGTACTGGGATCGTCTATTCCTGAAATGAAAGATTAACTACTCTCCCTTTTTAGTTACACATCTACAATTACAGTTGTGACAATTGCAATGAATCCTGTTAACAGTTACTCACAACTGAATCATAAAATCCTGTCAGCATCATTCCCTTTCACCAAGTCCGTCTGGAAAAGAGGAAAACTATTCAGTGGAGATTCTACCTAACTCCCCTCATTCTAAAACTAAACACACGCATGAAAGCTTGTAAGCCAGCCACTTCATGCTTTTATAGTTCCCCCTACCTCCACCATTTTTAATAGCCAATGTCTAAATTGCCTGTCCCTATCAACCCAGTACAGTAACAAGACAAGCATGTTCTTGATCTGAAGAATCTTCCATTCCGAGTGGAATTTTAAGCAACTGCATCCTTAAGCAAAAGTCCAGGTCATCAAACTGAGCAATTCACACTTGCTCACAATATCAAACATCCTTATCTTCATCTGGTTGGGTTCTGGTCAGCTCAACCCTAGCCATCCAACCTAGGTCAAATGGGCACCAATGGCAAGTTTGGGAATTTGTACATACCTCCCTGCACTTCAGACCAGCTGGCCCCTTCTCTCTTCTTGGGCCTATCCCCCAGGGCTCAGGAATTCACACATCTTCCTAAACTTCAGAATAGCCAATCCTTCCTCTTCTCTCATCTCAAGGTCAAGAGGTGTCACTGGAACATGGCCAAACTCAACCCAGGTCTTCATTGCTGCATTCCCCCACTTTCCCTCACAGATAAACACAGGTGATACCAGAGAGCATACTAGACTGCTCACGGTTCCCTTTAGATTTCAGCCCTAGAAGGCCTTGATGCCTCCAAAGCAAACAGCTTGCTTGAAACTCAAACAGCCAAACAATCTGATATTGTCTGCAGGTCTTTCAGTAAGAATCTTCTGTTCTCCCAGCAGTTCTTTAAGATAATTTTATCCAAATCTAAAAAGAAAAAGAAATTAAAAGAAAAAAAAAAAACAAACTGCCGGCAGTTCTGCAAACCATAAAATTTTCAAAGCTGGAAATATTTTCTTCATATAGGTTCTGCACCTTTCTCCTTAAGTTTTATTTCTGAGTCTGGCATTTTTATCAGTGCTATGAGTAATGTTGTATCTGTTTCCCCTTGTCCCTTCTGTGACGGCAAAGCGGTGGATGGTGTGTCCTGACCTCGGGCACCAAGTGGATCCGTTTCTTCATTGGTAATGGGGTGAGGACAGCTGTGCCTCCCTCCCAGGGGTGCCGGGTAGAAGAAGAACTCCAGGGATAGAGGCCAGTGGGTGGTCCCATAGGAGGGGACAAGGCGTTGGGCAGGAGGTCAGTGGGTGGCCCCATAGGAGGGGACAAGGTGTTGGGCAGGAGACCAGTGGGTGGTCCCATAGGAAGGGACAAGGCGTTGGACAGGGGGCCTGGGGCACACCCTACCTACACAGTGTTGGGACCCCACTGCTCGGGGTCTGGGTCTGGAAAGCAAATGGCCCATTGGGGTTCTGCATTAGAGGTAAGCATCTCACACTTTCTACTGTGGGCCTGGTTGTGCCTTTAGTTCTTAACCGAGAGACCCTGCTGTAGCACCAAGTGGGGTGCGTGGTATTGGGGGCGTGTGGAGTTCCCAGCCCCATGCTGCAGTCTGTATGGAGGGGAATGACTTCTGGTCCGTGCTCCCATGTTCAGCTGCCCATTCATCCCTCTTAATAGGGGTCTTTCTCATACCCCCCTTTGGCCCAGTGGGTCAGCCCAGGGCTCCAGCAGTCCTTGAGGTTTACACCTGTATAACCAGTGGGACCCCAGGTAAGACCCCTGGCAGGTACCAGGCCAGCACACAGTCCATTTTGCTAAGAGGCCTGTTGTTGTTGTTGTTGTTGGGTACCTTGAGTCAATTCTGCCTCGTAGCAACCCGTGTTCCATCTGGTTTCTGAGGCTGTACGTCTTTAAGATTACCTGGTCTTTCTCATGCCGACCCACTGGGTGGGTTCGAACTGCCAACCTTCTGGTTAGTAGTCGAGCACTTAACACTCCTGTCACCAGGACTCTTTTCTCAACACATCTGTTGTTGTTAAGTGTCCTGGAGTCAGTTCCAACTCATAGCAGCCCTCTCTGCATAGGGTTTCCGAGGAGTGGCTGGTGGGTTTGAATCACTGAGTTCCTGGTTAGCGTCCAATGCTTATCCTAGAGCATCACATCAGGACAGAGCTAGAAAAGGCTGGACAGGACTATTCCTGAATCTGTTTGCTTGATTGAAAGGATCTTATTAGGGGTGTGTCCAGCTAACCTTTCAGTTAGCATTTCCATCCTGAGCCTACAGAGTCACTTTCCTAGACCCATAGTGGGTTCTCATAGTGGGAGACATTGGAAGGGACAGGCTCGGGGGCACAGCCCCCAAGTCAGGATGGTCCCTCCAGACCCCACTTCAACCACTGACAGAGAGAGAGAGAGAAAGGCAGATAAGAGAAGGACTCTGCTTACCTCCTCTATAAGATGCCAGCACTTCCTGGAGGAGGAAGGAGCGATCAGCTGCTCTCATTTTACTATGAATTAGTTTGCAAGGTGGTTTGCAAATAGGCTCAGAAGACTTGAAACAATCAAAACTGTAACCACTCCTGAGAGAGTGGGGTTTGTCCCTACCTCCCCCCACAGGACCTGGGAGGCAGGTGACCCTGATCTCATTGTTGGGGAAAATGTTCGTAGAAATTGACAAGGATGTACTAGGTGACCCGGTTTCTATGCAATCATCACCAGAAATCAGCCCATTAGGTTGCAAACTGACTTCAGGGCTCTTCAGTTTGGAGTAAGGAGCATTTCTGCAACATCGGCTGAGTACCGGGTCCAGGTTGCTTCTGTCCCCACAGTGACAACAAGGACAAGTGACCCTGGTCTTCTCACTCTCCACACTTCTGTGGTGGAGTCTCCGGCAGCTAGGTTTTCCAGCACAGAGAAGCAGGTGGTTTGGGCATGGCCCCACCTGAAGGAATCTGGGTGTCAGCCCAGAGCACACAACAAAAATTTGTTCCTGAACCACCAACAGTGGTCTTCTGAACAGCTCCCTCTTCTGTCAGAAGAGAAGGAAGTGGTTCCCAAGGACCCTGCAAAGGCAACATTTAGCTGTGGGGAGGGGAGACCCCACCAGTTCAGTCCTGCTTAGACCGGTGCCATAGCCGGAGAGTGCCAGGGGCACAGAATGAAGACCCAGCACATAAAGGCGCTGAATTTGCTACAGAGCCAGGGGTGGGACCTTGAGGCACAGTGGGTGAGGGGTGGTGTCAACACCATATTTGAGGGTTATTCTCTAAGGGTGAACCCAGCCAGTCTCTAGGAGTCCCTTGAGACCTGGATTCCAGGGGCCAGAGGGCAGAGAGCTAGAGCCTTTGGAGGGGGGAGGGGAGAGAAAGCCAGTACCTGGAGAGACAGGAAAAATGATGACCAGGGGGTGAACAGGGCGGGATGGGGGAGAAAGGTAGACGTAGGCAGAGAGCCTGGGATTCGGCACACAAAAGTGCCCAGAGGGAGCATGCGATTGGGGAGGGCTTGCTGCTCTAGTATCTGGGACTTGGACCCCAGAGATCTGCCAACAGCTGAGACCCAGCCCTGGCTGAGATGCACCCACTGCTCCTCAGGGACACTGTGTGACTGGGCACAGCGGGGCCACCCAGGGCCTGGCTGGCTGTGGTGCTGGCATGCCCCAGGGCTGTAATTACATGTCTCTGTCCTGCTCTCCGAGGCAGAGGGCGGTTGGGGAGGTTTGTGGGGCCTGTGAATCAGGAGCTCATGAGAAGAGTGGTGGCTGGTGTGGCGGAGAAATTAGGGCCTTGGTGCAGCCAGCGTGCGACGGCTGGCAGCCCAGGACACGGCCAGCGCCCAGCCCCTGCCCACTGGAGCCCACATCAGGGCACGGAGGGCCAGTGGTCAGAGGTGGGCATGCCTGTCCACCAAGAAGTTACACTACCATTCAGAGACTGACCCTCTGGGGACAGGAGACCCTGAGAAGCCACAGTGTCCTCAGGAACATACACACAATCACACACAGTCATACAAAACTACATACACAATCACACACACACAGAGTCATACATACACATGATCACACACAGCCACACAAAACTACATACACAGCCACACACACACAGAGCCATACATACACATGATCACACACAGTCACACAAAACTGCATTCACAACCACACACACACACAGGCACACATACAGAGTCATATATACACATGATCACACACAGCCACACAAAACTACATACACAACCACACACACACAATCACAGCTCAAACACATACACAGCTACACAACAACATACAGTCACACAATCACATACAACCACACACATGCATGCAAACACACACATACATAGTGTATATCTACACATATCTACACAGAGGCAACTAAACACACAGAACACAAACACAACCACACAGCTATATACACACAGCCAATCACACACAGATATGCACACATACAACCACAACAGTAATACACAGATACACATAAAGACACACACACATACACCCCCACAACCCACATACATGAAACCACAGTTACATATACACCGACAACACACATGTGCATGACACACACGTGAAACCACAAACCGCCACAAAACAAAGCATGCGTGCAACCACACACACAGAGACACAACGCACAGCCTCGTACACTTAGGCACACAATCTCACACACAAACACATACACACAAAATACACAAACACAACCACAAAACCACACACATGCAACCACAACACAATCTCAGCTCCCTGACTCTTACAGACTGACATTTCTGTCACCACCTTGTCCCCTCACCCTGGCACACCCCTTGATGGAACAGAAAATGCTGGGCGCACCCCAAAGGCAAGGGTAGGGGACCAAGGGGCCCTGGAACTGTGTCTGCGTCTCGCTGGCTAACCTGCAGGATCCCACCCAGGAAGGAGGCCGGTAGTGGTCTTCTGGGTCCTCACTTCAGCTGCCTTTTGTCCCCAGGGGCCACCAAAGACATGGGGAAGATGCTTGGGGGTGAGGAGGAGAAGGACCCCGACGCAGCCAAGAAGGAGGAAGAACGTCAGGAGGCGCTGAGGCAGGAAGAGGAGGAACGTAAGGCCAAGTACGCCAAGATGGAGGCAGAGCGCGAGGTCATGCGGCAGGGCATCCGCGACAAGGTGGGCATGTGGCACCTGGGGGCCCCGAGGGGGTGGGTGTGTGGGGGACACCTAGGTGGTTTGTCACAAGGTGAGCTTGTGGCACCTGGGGGCCCCGAGGGGGTGGGAGTCGGGGGAACACCTAGGTGGTTTGTGACAAGGTGGGCTTGTGGCACCTGGGGGCTCCGAGGGGGTGGGTGTCAGGGGAACACCTAGGTGGTTTGTGACAAGGTGGGCTTGTGGCACCTGGGGGCCCCGAGGGGGTGGGTGTATGGGGAACACCTAGGTGGTTTGTGACAAGGTGAGCATGTGGACACACCTGGGTAGTCACAACTAGGGTCATGGGTGGAGAGCTCACCTTCCCCTCCCCAGGAGCACACCTGTGCAGACATGGCCAAGAGAGGTAGTCACGCAACTAGAGTTGAGCATGGGGTAGGTCCTGAGGGAAGCTGCCCTGGGTCCTCTTTCTGCTGTCCCATCTTCGTCCTGTTGGGCTTCTCCAGGGTTCTCCCCACTCACCCACTGGGGCCCCGTGGATTGGTTCTGTGCAGGTCAGATCCTTGGGTACCTGTGGCTGAATCCCAGATCCTTCGGCCTCTGCAGACACAGGAACTTGAGGGAGGGGTGTTCACTCTCCTCAGAGGAGGCCAGGACAGAGGAGAAGCCTGTACCCCCTGTGGCTCACCTGAATTGGGGGTTCTGCTCTCTGGGCCCTCTGCTTCTGAAGGTGGTGGGCTGGTTCTGTCCTGGTGAGTCCAGGCTCTTGGATGAAGATTTCTGCAGGAGACAGACACCCGACAGCTCTGCTGGGAGCCATTGGCCCTGCTCACAGCCATCTTTCAGAGGGTTGGGCTGGTGCATATATGCCCTGACAGGACAGGCACAGGCGCTCAGTGTCTGAGGACAAAGCTGGACCGTCATCCTGCGTGGAGAGCCTGCCTGAGGAGAGCTTGGGGGCTTTGGGGTGATGTTGAGGCTGGAGGGAGTCTGGGATGTTCCAGAACTCACAGCTGGGAAAGGATTTGGGGTGGAGGGCAGCAGGCCTGCAGAATATGTCCTCCCAGGAAGTCACATTACTCTTAGGACAGACTGATGGACAGATGGACCGACACATGGGTTTGTTACAGACAGAACAAGGAGGAAGAAGGCGAGAGAGACACGAGACTGAGCAAAGAGGGGAGACATCATAGGAATGGAGGGGGGCTACTGAGGGACAGAGATAGAGCAGTGGGGGCCTTGAGGAAAAGGGTGGGGAACCTCTTGAGTGTCTGGGCCCCACTGAAGCAGCTCTGTTCAGAAGTGTATCTGTCTGTCTGTCTGTGTATGGTGGCAACGACTGCAGAAAAGGTGTGAGGTACATATGGATGTAGGTTCCCGAGGGGGGTGGTCCCTGGAAAACAGCAGGGCCAAGTTGGACTGGGCTGAGCTTGTGTTCATCACTGCCCCCTGGTGGTGGCTCCTTCCACTTAGGTAGGTGGTCAGCCCTGAGGAGGGCAGCCTCAGCTGTGGGGTGGGGGTGGGGGCCTATATCTCCCCAGAGACCTCGCTTACCTAATGAGTTTGTCCATGGTGGCTTTGAGGCCTTGACCAGGAAAGATGAATCCTACATTACTTAATCCTGGGCAGAGTGGCAGGGCACCCCCCTCTCAGCTCAACTCTGGGACCAGAAAGCCCCTGCCTCCTGGGAGCCCCCACAGGATCCACTCAGTGGGCTGGTGGTTGGGACAAGGTGGAGGCCCACGGCTCATCCAGCCACCTGACCTGGTCCAGTTCTTGGCGACAGTTCTTGGGGCAGGCAGAGGGTTGATTAAGGAGCCAGCTGGGAGATCACATGCTGCTCCCACGGCCTCCCAGATCCCTGTGTGGCCAGGTGTCTCTTGGGATCTGAATTCACAGCACACCAGGGCCAGGCAAGCTCAGACACAGGTGTCCCCAAGACAGAAAATAGGGCATGTGGATGGGAGGGGCTCAAGAGGGAGGAAACTGAAGGGCGGGAGGTGACAACAGGGCTCCGGAGACCCCAGCCCCAGCTCAGGGCCTTGGTCTGACCTGAGAGAGCAGCCAGTCTGGACCTGATGTTTGTTGAGGCCCAGAAGGTGGGGTAAGGAAGGAATAGGATGGGGAAGGTGCTGTTTTCCTGGGTGTCTGAACACCACTTCCTCCCTCTGTTGTCTGTGAGTGGACGTTGATGGCAGCCTGGCCAGGTGTCTGGGGGTACAGTGAGATGGGGATGATGGTGACAACCTCCTGAGGTAGCTTGAGGGTGTTACTGGATGCCAGAGCCCCAGGTAGGGGATGTCTCTGGAGGTCCTTTCAGAATCTGGTCTGCACCCTCAAGCAAGTCTCCCTCGCTCCCGAGAACACGGGAGCAGTCTGAGTATTGGGCAGATGAGGGTGGAAGCTTTTCAGGGGGACGGTGCCAGGGAAACAGGGAGAGACTCCCCATTGGCTACCCCACCTCCAGCCGCCGTGTTAGCCAGCAAGGGCAGGGTGCCCCCTGGTGGCCGTGCACACATCTATTCAGTTCCCATACAGTCTCCTGAGGATCGCTCTGGTGGGGGTAAAGGTCCATTACTCTGGGGTCAGGGACTTCAGCTCTGAGTGACTCTTGTGCTTGGGGCTGGGGCGCAGGACTCATGGGTCCAAGGAAAGGTTGTGGAATTACTGAGGCTGACTTCAGATTGGCTGGACCCTGGACAGTCAGCCACCCTGCCTCCTGGTCTTTGAAGAACTCAAAGTTCAAGAAAGGGCCCTGAAATTCACCTTCTCCACCACCCTGTTTTTACATATTTTCCTGGAAATGGAGAAGAAATCCATCTTAACCAGCAAATTCAGCAGTCCTGTAAATGGGCTTGATATGAAGAAGACAAATGGAAAAAACAAAGCCAAGCAGTTGTTGTTACGTGTTATCAAGTCAGTTCTGACTCACAGTAACCCTGTGTACAGCAAGAATGGAGAGACAAGAAGTGCATATGCTAAATGCTCAGAATAGGGGCCCCTATCCCAGATGGGGGAAATAAGGAGAGGCAGCCGAGGGAGGGGGGAGCAATCTCTTGGGGCATCCCTACCCCGGAAGCCCCTGTTGTCCACTGGGCAGAGGGATGCAGGCCTCCTTTCCTCACTTGATCTGGGCCCAATGGGGAACATGGGAGACCTCCATGCTCCAAGGCTCACACCTACCTCTCATAGACCTGTCTGTGATTCTGGAAGCTTCTTCCATCAGCCCACCGGGCTTCACATAGCTGATAGAGTCCCTTGTGACCAGCCTCCATGCCATGGAAGGCCAGTCGCGCCCCAGACACCAGGTACCCTGTCTCTGATTCCCCTGGACTGCTTCCCTATTCTCAGAGCGTTCCTCATCAGTACCTGTCCTGGCCTGCCCTGGACTCGCCTCCCAGCCCTGTTGGTCAGACTGGGCAGAGGGGGCCAAACTGCCCAGGCCAGTACGCTCCTCTGCAGAAGGTGAGAATCCAGTCAGGGTGCCCAAGGAAGCAGACACCCTTACCCGAGGGAGGTAAACAGGCTCTGGGCTCTGCCCTACAAAAAGGAAGGGGGTGACTCTCCCCTCCTCCATCCCATCACAAGGCCATCTGGACAGGTCCAAGCTCAGGGAGGGGAGGCTGGCCCACCTGTGCTTGATTTGCATACCTATGTCCTCTTTGCATACGTATCCCTGGATTTGCATATCCACCACCTGGCTTTTGTATTTCCAGCCGCCCACTCCATATTCTGCAGCTTCTGAGCCAGAACCTCATTTGAGGATGGGACAAGGCCCAGTCTCCGCTCTAGGCACAGAGCCCCTGGACTTCCCTATACCCCATCCAGATCTCTTGGAGTTCAGGCTGAGGGCAGCACTGGTCAACTCCAATGTCCTCCTTCTGTGAATACTGTGTTTTCAGGACTTAATGTCTCTCTTGTGAACGTCAGCTTCTCCGGGCATCTACATTGCTGGCTGCCCTGGGCTCCCCCTCCCAGTAGCTGCTACTAGGGTGCGGTGG